TTAGAGTGCAGAAAGAAAGAAAGAAAGAAAGAAAGAAAGAAAGAAAGAAATGGGATGATTAAAAGAAAGAAAGAAAGAAAGAAATGGGATGATTAAAAGAAAGAAAGAAAGAAAGAAAGAAAAAGAAAAAGAAATACTATTAAGGAGAGAGAACAACGTGAATTAAGAAGACAGAAGGTGATGATTGACATTGCATTTGAATTTCTGAAGATCGACGTTATCTGGAAACTTAGAAGCCGGAAGAGAGTTTCCCAACCGAGAAGTGAGAAAGAAGAAGCTATTAACAGAGAACTTGCGGTTACACCTCGCCATTTCAACTGTAAAATGATGAGACTTAACTGCCAATCTAGTACTGCGCTTAAAGTCATAAACTCTAGCTACCATAGTGGCAAATTTATCGGAACGATTTCTATGAAATTATTTATGGAAAAGGCACGGAAAGCTGCATTATGGCAATTGTAAGGAGCTAAAGTCGAGATACCGAGTTAGGACCAATAACATTGCAGATTCTTCTTTAGGTTTTATCAAGAATTTCCAAATGTATAGTAGGAGCACCGGGTCAAATAGGGTCGCAATATTTAAAGCATAGGCGAATGGCAGACTTATAAATTTGTAAGATAGATTCTGTTTAAGCTAAATACCTAATTACGCTATGAAAATTATAATTTCAAGAATAATATTCAATTCTCCAACGTTTAATTTCGTAAGACAAATCTATATTTTAATATTTTTTTTTGCAATCGTCATTTGTTAAAGAAATATAATTGAAAGTTTTCTCCCAGAATGAAATCAGGAATTGTTTCAGTTCCTTTACAATTCATTTTTATGTTTGCATTTCTTTCTTTTCAAATTGTTTTTTATCTTCATCGATTATCTGTCTTATGCAAAATCAAATCAAAATCGATCATGATTAATGACTCGGATAATATATCCGGATAGAGTCATTTTCATCATAATCAAAAGTCGTATAGAATTCAAATTCTTTTCCGGTGTGTTGCTTACTTTTGCACCGATGCATTTGGAATTTTAGTCCCGTTGTCCGCTTTTGCTCGCCATTTTGGATTGGCAGCCGGAGAAGAATGCCTTTTAAATTCAAAAGCATGTAGAAATCAACAGGGAACTACTCCGCTATCTTTCCCAAGAAATCATCGTAATTCATGCATAGAAGAAAGGAAAGAGAGGAGAGCAGTGAACGAAAGGACGTGAAGTGTATAAAAATGAGACAAACCTTTTACCTCGCTATGTGTCAGTGTTCGAACTCAGATAGAAAACATGTCATATGCTAGTTTTTAAAATAAGCACGACCTCCCCTACTTGGAAAATCGCCGCATCATGATCTTCCTGCTCTTAAGAAATATGTGTAAAAGTTTTGATTGCAAATATCTAAGGCTATTTGATATTTTTATAATGTCAAGTCAAATTTCCGTCCGAATTTAAGGGATGAGGAGTTATTATTAATCCCATTACTTACATCCGGGCAATTGTCTTTTTGGTTATTAGCACAATGTTTCGGGCGTTATGCCATGATCAGAGGCCTATTGAATTTTTTATTCTTTTTTTACGGCTTATTAACCTATTACAGGTTATTTGAAGCCAGTAAATATGTTTAGATTCTAAGAATTTTCTTTTGAGATAATAACGGCTTAGTGATACAAGTCTTGTTAATTAACCCATAGATGGGGGAGAAAAGGGGTATTGATACCTAATCAGAATTTTATAAACAAACAGGAAATTATAATGTGGTTATAAAGTGGGGTATCAATTCTACATTACAATCAATATATGAAAAGATCCCTCACTTTGTAGCCAAAGTTCTTTTTATGCATTTATTTTCCAGAGGGAATATATTTGAGAGGTGAAAGGTAATAAGGAGAGAGGGTGACGATCCCGATGATCGGATGCGAACGGGTGCTGACTGCTATGATATTCCAGAGAATGTAAAAAGCATGCCTGTATATTTAATCAGTATTTCATTGATTGATTGATTCGTTCTCTACGGCTTATCAACAATCGAGAAAGTATAATGTGGATATAAATTGATGGGTCAATTCTACATTACAACTAGTATATAAACTGATCCCTCACTTTATGACAATTGTAGTTTCTATACATTTATATCCCAGAGAATGTAAATAAATCTAAAAGACATGCCTGTATAACTAATCAGTAATTCATTTATTGATTGATTCGTTTTCTACGGTTTATCAACCCTTTGCAGGTTATTTAAAGCCAGAAAATATTTTTAGATCGTAATATTTTTCTTTTGATATTTTGAGATAAGAAAGATTTAGTGATACAAGTTTTACTAATTAACACATAACTGCTTTTTCCTTGGGTTAAGCGAGAAAAGTTTCAAAACTTTTCCTGAAAATTAAAAATGTTTAAGGATAAAAGCTGCCAAAAAACGAGTTCAGGCAACACAATTTCTTGCTGTTTGTATCCGTTGATAAGCTTTTATATTTAGGACAGACAGACAGACAGATAGATAGATAGATAGATAGATAGATAGATAGATATGAACAGACTGAAATAGATAAATATAAAAAAGACTGAAATAGATAGATATGAAAAGAAGATAAATACTTATAAAGATATATATATATATATATATATATATATATATATATATATATATATATATAGAGAGAGAGAGAGAGAGAGAGAGAGAAAGATGGATGAACAGACTTCGATATGAAAAGACTGAAATAGATAAATATAAAAAGACTGAAATAGATAGATATGAGCAGAAGATAATACTTATAAAGATATATATATATATATATATATATATATATATATATATATAGAGAGAGAGAGAGATAGAAAAGACTGAAATAGATAAATATAAAAAAGACTGAAATAGATATGAGCAGAAGATAATACTTATAAAGATATATATATATATATATATATATATAGAGAGAGAGAGAGAGAGAGAGAGAGAGAAAGAGAGATGGATATGAACAGACTTCGATATGAAAAGACTGAAATAGATAAATATAAAAAAGACTGAAATAGATAGATATGAGCAGAAGATAAATACTTATAAAGATATATATATATATATATATATATATATATAGAGAGAGAGAGAGAGAGAGAGAGAGAAAGAGAGATTGATGTGAACAGACTTCGATATGAAAAGACTGAAATAGATATAAATATCTCCCTAGCCCAGTACTTGGTGGGGCCGAGGATTGGCCGATGATTCCTCCCCCACCAGGTCGACGCTTGGACACAAGGTAAAGCCGTATATTCAGTCATCATCATCATGACGACGCAGGCAGTTACCCACTTGTTGGCCCATGTGAGTATCGTTTCGCTCTAGCTGACTGCATTTATTTTCATTTTCATTTTTTTTTTTTTTTTTTCGTTTTTCCGTTTTTAAATTTTTTTTTTTTCCTCCTCCCTCCCTCCCTCCCTACTTATTTGATAATTTAGTAAGGAATCCTGATCCGAAATGTTAACAAAGTAAAAAACTAGAAAAATGGAAAATTGAATGTCTTCTACTGGATGTGATAATAAATCCGGGTAACCGTATTTTCAATTTCTTTTTAGTATAAGTCCCATTGTCTATTCTAAGTTAAAACTTAATGTGATAAAGTATAGCCATTTGTAAACCAGGACTCCTTACCTGTTATCTCCCCCTCCAATCCTTCCCTCTGTTTTTGTGTCGTCCTTTTTTGTGTTATCTGTAATAGGAGTAGGTAGTCCCTTCTACCGCCCGGTCAACACTCCTCCCCTTCTATTGGACATGAGTAGAGGCTTACACCTTGTTTCTTGTCAGGGATGGGGTTCCCGGTACTGTCTTTCTCTCCGGCCTCTGTATTAGTGCAGGTCTGTTTCTCCCGTGATGCGTGCAGTCTGTGGCAACATCTCTTCATTCTGAGGGTACACGGCTGACAGTTCTCTGGTTGCTGTTTCCGACTGGTAGTTAGGAGCCCTAACTCTTGCGTAGCGTCTTGAGCGGCTGCTCTGATCAACAGTTGTATAATACCGGGGTGTTTGTAGTGCCATGTCGCGCGTGGAAAGGTGTCCCTGCAGTCACCTCCGGTGGGCAGCCCTGAGGCCACATAATGATGCGGATTTTGCCAACTCCTCTCTGCCCGCGTCACGGTCGAAACTGTCTGTTTTCTCTTACCTCAGGCCTTCTCATCTCTGCAAATAAATCCAACATGAGTTAAAAAACCGAAAGATTTACCCTAAACCAGCATCTCAGAAACCACCTAAACCCCTCAACATTTCATTCTCCAACATCCGGGGCATTAGAACAAACTTCTACAGTCTGGAATCCTTCCTCACTGCAAACGGCCCGGATGTATTTGTTTTCTGTGAGACAAACCTTGTCTCATCTATCCCCTCTTCTGATCTCTCGATCCCCGGCTATCTTCCTCTCCTCAGAAAAGACTCTCTAACCCACATGCACGGTCTTGGTGTCTACGTCAAGGAACATCTCCCCTGACCAGAGAGTCCTCTCTCGAATCGCCTGACCAGTCATACATGTCTCCGTCTCTCTCCTCAATGCGGTAAGCTATCTCTTCTTCCTTTACCGCTCTCCATCCTCTCAAGACTGTGAGATACTTGATAGCATTTCTGACAACATAGACAAGGCTCTCTCCCTCCACCCGTTTGCTCACATTTTGTGTTTGGAGACTTTAACGCCCATCACACTCTGTGGCTTAAGAATGCTACTACTGACCATGCAGGCATTCAAACGCTTAATTTTTCAATCTCCCATTCCCTCACACAGATAGTTAACTTCCCCACTTGTTTTGCCCTCAACCGGGTAAGTAAAGCCTCTCTACTCGACCTGTGCTTTACCTCCATCCCCGAATCCTGCAGCGCCTCGCAACTATGCCCACTTGGTAACTCTGACCATGCAGTAGTATCGGTTAACCTCCTTTAACTCCTCCCCCTATAAAGAACCTCCTACCACTAGAACTTCGTTCTATTATCAACGAGCTGACTGGGACGCGTTCCGTGATTTCCTCCGCGATGTCCCCTGGGATGGAGTCTTTAAGCTCCCCGTCCAAGAATGTGCTTCTGAGGTCTCTTCCTGGGTTAAAGCTGGAATCGACGCTTTCATCCCATCAAGGAAATATAGGGTTAAGACGCGCTCCTGCCCTTGGTTTTCGGCTGCTTGCTCAGCCGCCATCGCCCATAGGAACCACTACTTCCACCTATACCGTAGCGACATGTCTGACTGCAATAGACGTCTCTTTGCCGCCGCCCGTAACGATTGTAAGCGTGTCCTAAATGATGCTAAGTCACTATTTGCGGCTAGAATGAAGGAACGTATTGCATCTCGCAAATTTGGCTCCAAAGATTATTGGCGTCTCTGCAAGAGTGTATTGAATAAGTGCAAACCCTCTATACCTCCTCTATTCAACCAGTTCGAAGTCTTGACCTCCTCTACCGACAAGGCTGAATGCTTTGCTCGGAAATTTTCATCCAACTCGACGCTCGACTCTTCTGGTGTACCCATACCCGACTTTCCTCTTAGAACTGAGGCCATATTGAGTGGGTTAAACATAACCTCAACCTTGGTACTGGGCGTTATCTCCAATTTAGATCTCAACAAGGCGAGTGGTGGAGATGGGATACCAGCCATTGTCTTAAAGAAATGCGCGCCTGAACTGGCGCCCGCCCTTTCGAAACTATACAACTACTGCCTCAAGGAATCTTGTTTTCCTGACTGCTGGAAGTCCTCTTCGATTGTTCCTGTCTTCAAGAACTCCGGCGACCCCTCTGACCCTTCTAACTACCGTCCTATCAGTCTCCTTCCCTCTTCGGCAAAATCTTCGAAGCTCTAATCAATACCGGGGTGGTTAACCACCCACATCCAATAATCTGCTCTCAGACAAGCAATATGGTTTCCACTTTGCCAGATCTACAGCCGATGTGCTCACAGCCATCACGGAAACAGTCTACCGAACTCTCCAAAATAACGGGGAAGCCCGAGCCGTGGCACTAGATATCTCCAAAGCATTTGATAGGGGTTTGGCACGCCGGCCTTCTCCGCAAGATCCAGGGTTATGGCATTACGGGTCAATTATATAACGTAATACAATAATTCCTGTCAAACCGTGAATTGAAGGTCGTTCACAACGGATTCTCCTCCAGTTCCTACCCCACGAACGCAGGAGTTCCTCAAGGCTCCATCCTAGGCCCCACTCTATTCCTTATCTATATAAATGACCTTCCTGACGCCGTAACTTCTCAAGTCGGCATCTACGCGGATGATACCACAATTTATTCCTGCCTCAAAAACAAATCCAGTCTCGCTGACAAAACTCACCTTGCCGTGCGCCTCGAAAAGGACCTCCAATCGATTGTGATCTGGGGCAAGATTTGGCTGGTCAACTTCAACGCTTCGAAGACTAAACTGCTCTCTATTAATCACCACAGAGAGCCTTCCCTTCCTCCATTATAATGTCTGACGCTCAACTTCCTGAGAGCAACTCTCTGCGGCTTCTCGGTCTCACGTTGACTGCTGACCTGAGATGGAATAAATACATCGAGTCAATTGCCTCGTCCACTGCGAGGAAAGTTGGCTCCCTGAGCCGTGCTAGGGAAGTTTTTCTCCCTGAGTCGATCCTCCAGATATACAAATCCACAATTCGCCCTTGCATGGAGTATTGCTGCCTTATATGGTCTGGCGCCCCTTCTGTTTGCCTCGGGGTTCTTGATAGGCTCCAGAGGCGGATATGTAATATGGTTGGCCCTACCCTGGCGTCTCGTCTACAGTCACTTTCTCACAGACGCACCGTCGCCTCCCTCTGTCTGTTCTACAAATACTTTCATGGAAACTGCATTCGCTGGTTCCCAAACTTCATGAGTTCAAGCGCCCTACGAGGCTGGCATCCCGCTCTCACCCCTTCACTGTCGAAACTCCTAAATGTAGCCGTCTCTTCTACTCTAATAGCTTCATGTTCCGCACCTCTCGCCTGTGGAACTCTTCCCTTCTCCTGTTTCCCTGTGAGTTATAATCTCCAGCTATTCAAGTGTAATGTCAATCGACATCTCCAGTTGCCTTAATCTATCTACTACCCTCATCCTTTCTTCTATCACTCCTATCTGATCTTCCTATTTTCTGTAACCCCTTGCGTCCTAGTGGCTCCCCGCCTTGCTTGGGGTTAAATGCTTAAAAAAAAAAAAAAAAAAAAAGAAAAAAAAGACAGATAGATATGAGCAGAAGATAGATAGTTATAAAGATATATATATATATATATATATATATATTTAGAGAGACAGAGACACAGAGAGAGAGAGAGAGAGAGAGAGAAAGAGAGATAGATGGATAGATAGATAGTTATGAACAGACTGAAATAGATATGAAAAGACTGAAATGATAGATAGATAGATAGATAGATAGATAGATAGATATGAACAGTGATAGATAGATAGATAGATAGATAGATAGATATGAACAGACTGAAATAGATAAATATGAAAAAAAATGAAATAGACCGATAGATAGATATGAACAGACCTAAAGAAACTGAAATAGATAGATATATAGATAGATAGGAACAGACTGAGATAGATAGATAGATAGATAGATAGATTGGTATGGACAGACTGAGATAGATAGATAAATAGATAGATAAGAAAATACGGAAATAGATAGATCAGTAAATAGATAGGTAGATAGATATGAACGAACCTAAATAAACTGAAATATATATTATAAGGTAGATATATCGATAGATAGATAGATATGAACAGATAGAAAGAAAGAATTTTGGGGAGGTGATACAAGTGTTACTAATTAACCCATATCTGGGGGAAAAAGTGGATCCATGCTTTTCACTGGGGTATTTTGAGTGTAAGTGAATATAACGCACCCAACAGAAAATGGAACTCAGCTCTCGGAATAACAATTCCGAGCCGCGATCCATTACACCATCCGCACATCAAAGTTTACAGCACCTGGTATTCCCAAGCGGTCACCCATAGAGGGACTGAAGATGTTTGATGTTGCTTAACTTATTGATGCGGGTAACTTTCTTGGAATATCGAACTGAACCTTTTACTCAATCTGTGAGGCTAGGATGTTTTTATTTCGCTGTTCATGTCTAGGGATATATCTTTTCGATGAATTATTTCGTTTTTTTTTCTTCATTTTTTCATTTATTTTAATCATATCATTCCTCGAGAATTTCAACAAAGTGAGAGAAAATGACGGCTGACATTGTTATGAGGGCATCACATCATCTGGCTTAATTTCCTGGTGGAGTGACGTGGACCCTTGACCATGAGTAAGTTCATGTGCGAACACCATTTCTGTGCAGTTCTTTCTGTATCAGCAACTTGTGTTTTTTTTTTTTGCTTTGGGAGAGGGGGCTAACTATTTGCCCTAAGCTGGGACCCTAGCAAATGCTATCACCTAGGGTAGAGTTGGACCTGGGAGCAACAGCAATAAAGAGGTTGTTCCACGCTCTTCAAAACCTACAATCGCTCGACTAGATGCATTTTCGGTATGCAGTGGAAGGATAGAACTACAAAAATAAATAACGTAAATTGCGGCGTACAAGTCTACCTGTCGTATAAGTCGACCTGTCGTATAAGTCGACCTGGCGTATAAATCGACCTGGCGTATAAGTCTACCTCAAGATTTTCAGCTCAAAATTCTGAGGCAAGCCTATATCGACCCTACCCAAGCCTACGGAAGGCCTTGAAAACGGTTACTTGACTTATTGCAGACTGCGCATCAACATATTCTGATACTGATTTTGTTAGCCTACACTTCTATGCTGGTTTAAGGCATGTTGGAAGAAAGCGTTTGGAGATTTTTCCGCAGTGGGTTTCCAATTCTTTCTGCTGTAGACAGTCTATCCGGCTACTCAACTCATAGTTGCAGGGAGAAGAAATGGATTCATACCTTTCCCAAGGATATGTGCGCATAAGAGAATGCTAACAAACTCGACTGGAACTCAAACTTGGTGTCTCGATTTCTCAATCCGAGCTGATGTCCATTAGACCACATCACACGAAACTTAGTCCTGCTGGTAAATAAAGTTAAGCTATAGTATACTTTTATATACCATATACTAAAAGTATTTTCTCAATAGTCATAATAGGTTGAAAACTATTGCAATTGTGTGTGTGGGGGTAATGTTGTATAAGTAGTCCACCACTAGCAGTGGCTTACCTACTTCATGACGCTGGCGAGTATTGTATTTTGTTGATGTTATAAAGATTATCATTTCATTTCCAACCACTGCTTTGGTTATTCCTCATTCAGTAACCATTTTTTGGTTACAACATTATTATAGCCCATCCCCATAATGATTGTTCCATTTAGGCTATGAAATATGTATGCAAAAGGAACAATCATTATGGGACAGACAGTGTCAAATGTTTCCTTTCTTTCAATTTAATCTGATTATTAAAGTAGCCATTCTTCTATATTATTCAACCTCTGTCCCATAATGATTGCTCCATTTAGACTATGAAATATGCATGCAAATGGAACAATCATTATGGAACAGAGAGTGCCAAATGTTTCCTCTTTTCTGTCAATTTAATCAGATTATGAAAGTAGCCATTCTTCTATATTATTCTACCCCTGTCCCATAATGATTGTTCCATTTAGTCTATGAAATGTGTATGCAAAAGGAACAATCATTATGGGACAGAGAGTGTCAAATGTTTCCTCTCTTCTTTCAATTTAATCTGATTATTAAAGTAGCCATTCTTCTATATTATTCAACCTCTGTCCCATAATGATTGCTCCATTTAGACTATGAAATATGCATGCAAATGGAACAATCATTATGGAACAGAGAGTGCCAAATGTTTCCTCTTTTCTGTCAATTTAATCAGATTATGAAAGTAGCCATTCTTCTATATTATTCTACCACTGTCCCATAATGATTGTTCCATTTAGTCTATGAAATGTGTATGCAAATGGAACAATCATTATGGGACAGAGAGTGTCAAATGTTTCCTCTCTTCTTTCAATTTAATCTGATTATTAAAGTAGCCATTCTTCTATATTATTCAACCTCTGTCCCATAATGATTGCTCCATTTAGACTATGAAATATGCATGCAAATGAACAATCATTATGGAACAGAGAGTGCCAAATGTTTCCTCTTTTCTGTCAATTTAATCAGATTATGAAAGTAGCCATTCTTCTATATTATTCTATTTCTGTCCCATAATGATTGTTCCATTTAGTCTATGAAAATGTGTATGCAAAAGGAACAATCATTATGGGACAGAGAGTGAATCAAATGTTTCCTCTCTTCTTTCAATTTAATCTGATTATTAAAGTAGCCATTCTTCTATATTATTCAACCTCTGTCCCATAATGATTGCTCCATTTAGACTATGAAATATGCATGCAAATGGAACAATCATTATGGAACAGAGAGTGCCAAATGTTTCCTCTTTTCTGTCAATTTAATCAGATTATGAAAGTAGCCATTCTTCTATATTATTCTACCACTGTCCCATAATGATTGTTCCATTTAGTCTATGAAATGTGTATGCAAATGGAACAATCATTATGGGACAGAGAGTAATCAAATGTTTCCTCTCTTCTTTCAATTTAATCTGATTATTAAAGTAGCCATTCTTCTATATTATTCAACCTCTGTCCCATAATGATTGCTCCATTTAGACTATGAAATATGCATGCAAATGGAACAATCATTATGGAACAGAGAGTCGTTAAATGTTTCCTCTTTTCTGTCAATTTAATCAGATTATGAAAGTAGCCATTCTTCTATATTATTCTACCACTGTCCCATAATGATTGTTCCATTTAGTCTATGAAATGTGTATGCAAATGGAACAATCATTATGGGACAGAGAGTGTCAAATGTTTCCTCTCTTCTTTCAATTTAATCTGATTATTAAAAAGCCATTCTTCTACATTATTCAACCTCTGTCCCATAATGATTGTTCCATTTAGTCTATGAAATGTGTATGCAAATGGAACAATCATTATGGGACAGAGAGTGTCAAATGTTTCCTCTCTTCTTTCAATTTAATCTGATTATTAAAGTAGCCATTCTTCTATATTATTCAACCTCTGTCCCATAATGATTGTTCCATTTAGACTATGAAATATGCATGCAAATGGAACAATCATTATGGAACAGAGAGTGCCAAATGTTTCCTCTCTTCTTTCAATTTAATCTGATTATTAAAGTAGCCATTCTTCTATATTATTCTACCCCTGTCCCATAATGATTGATCCATTTAGTCTATGAAATGTGTATGGAAATGGAATAATCATTATTGGACAGAGACTGTCAAATATTTCCTTTCTTCTTTCAATTGCCATTCTTCTGTATTATTCGTTATATATCGTACCTATGAACACTAATGTGTATGTCCTAATCGATATAAATATATTGGTCACTATTGCACGTGCGGCTAATATTCTGTCTAATTCGTCCACCATTAGCCCTTGTTCACCAACTTCCTGATGCCGGCAAGTATTGTATTTTGTTGATGTAATAAAGATTACCATTTAATTTCCAACCACTGTTTTTGTTATTCCTCATGCAGGAAGCCTTTCCCAGGTTACAAAATATACAATAACCTGTGTCAAAACAACAGACGGTCACACCTCTTACTTGTATATCGAGTCACTAACAGCAATATGTTTCTATATGCGTTGTATAATAAGTAACCTACAATTTCACATCTGTAGGTACTGTATATTGTATCAGTATAGCTTAGCAAACATTTAAAATTGGACAGGTGTACTGATAAATATATTAAAGTTAACCTCAACCGCTAGAAAATATTAATAACGCAGACTACACATCATACCTGTTGGTTTTTGATCGTATCTCATGATAAAATACAGTATCACTCATACGCCATTTTCATTTGTGATGTTAAGAGTAACGCCACCATACTCATAGGCGAACTGCAAAATTGTCGGCCCATTACACATTCAACCCATATATCATATCTAGTTGTTTGAATGGCTGCCTGTGCTAAACGGCGCTTCGGTCAGTGTTTACACTTAGTGTATCAGCGGTTTGACGCGATGTGTGACGTAGCTTTAATAGAATACTGAATTTGTGTTACTATTTTATTATTTTATATTAATTTTTCTGTCGTAATATTACCAAATATGTTCACCAATCGCTTATTGTAGAGGGATATTCGTGTGCTGTATTTATAGTGAGTGGCCTACAATAATTGTCCCACTTTTTTACAACTCAGTGGTAAACGTTTGCTTATTATACCCACTATATATGTCGAACCCTAGATTTGGAAATATCTTTAAGGTTTGTAAACTCAACTGGTAAGCCGAAATTTGCTCTCTCTCTCTCTCTCTATATATATATATATATATATATATATATATATATATATATATATATATATATATATATATATATATATATATATATATATATATATATTGTATAGGAAAAAATGCGTTGTATAGAAAAAATATACAACAAAACCTGGTAAGTACACGTATATTGTATCGGTATAACTTAGCGAATATTTAAAATTCAAGACTATTGATAAATACATTGAAGCCAACATCAATCCCTATAAAATATTAATTCCGTAGATTAAACATCATACCAGGTTGTTTCTTGATATTACTGCTATGTATCGAATATCATTGTAAAATACGGTTTCACTCATCCGCCATTTGCAACAGCGAGGTAAGCAAACAGTGACGACGCTATTTAGTGTATCAGCGGTTGAACATGATGTGTTGTGCAGCGTTAACAGAATACTGAATTTGTGTTAATATTTTATTATTTTATATTAATTTCTCTGTTAATATGCCAAATATATTCACCAAACAAGTTTTAGTGAATATATATTTATGGCAGCCTGCTGGATGTACGGTTTTGTTTGTTTAACGACATATCAATTCATAAAGGCCTAAATTTAATTTGTTTTGGAAGCTTTTGTATTTTTGTTATTAAAAAATATATTGCTGGTAATTTTTCTCTTCTTTTTCAAATAATATGTTGTTGGTAATTTTTTTTACTATAAAAATGTATTGCTGATAAGGTACGTTTATACTTTCGTAATGTTTTGGCCCCATATCGGGAGTTCAGTATTTGCCCGGAGTTGGGATCTTAACAGGTGTTACCACCCCAGGTCAGGGTGGGGACCTGAGAACAACAGCAATTACGAAGTGCTGCCATGGGTACGGTAAGTGGTGTACAATAATTTTTAGTAGTGTCCCAATTATTTACATGTCGGTGGTAAAGGTTTGTATTTTATACCCGTTATATAAGTCGAATCGTAGTCTTGAAAAGATCTTTAGGCTTCAAAACTCGA